TGTAGTTTCATAGCGTGGGGTGAGACTGGGTCCCCTTGGTAGGTAGGCTACTATTTGGCCTGTTGTACAAGCTCCGGATGAAAAATGAGTATAGCTATTTGGTGGGATGAGAAGTTGCAAGGGAAATCAAAGCACTCGGATGAAACTTGCTCCAGTGTCACTTTGTCCACCACAAAACCCACAAGATCTGACCTGGGATCGAACCCGGACCGCCGCGGTGGGAAGGCCGAGCAATGGCATTGTCGTAATTTCGGGTTACTCGTACTTCTACCTTATGCTATTTTTTCTCATGGGGCGGGACTGATTAAACTTGGTACCGAGGTGACTGTTTGGCCTATTGTACCAGCCCCAGATGATGAGGATGATATGATTATGAATATGGAGCAATCGGTGGAATGCGAATTGGCAAGGAAAACCGAAGTGCTAGAAGCAAATCTGCCCCCAATACCACTTTGTCCACCACAAATCCCACATAACATGAGTCGGGCTCGAACCTGGACCGTCTGGATGGGAAGCCGGTGACTAACCGCCTGGGCTATGACAAGGCCCTACCTTATGCCATAATTTCTCATAACGTTGTGTATAGTATTAGATAAATAATTGTTGAAATTGACCCTGAGGAGGACATATGAGGACATGTAATCGTGGGAAGATACTCTGGTACCCCTAGGTTACTAGTACTACAGTTTGAGAATCGCTCCATTAGGCCCTACTGAGTGAGAAAGTAAATTTCTTAAGCACATAAATTAACACGTAAACTTGCCAGGTGGTTCACATTTTCCAACTTTGTTGAAGACATTCTTACTTCACGTCCCCCCTTTAAGCAGCGGCAGTTGACTATAACTATTGGCTTTTATGATTATTACATTGCGTCAGTCATAAATGCAAGCTTACAGTTAGAGTTCACTTGGTGCCCTCAGCTCACGTGCTAGCTGCAGCATTGCTCAATGTACCAGCTCACGTTTTTTTTTCCTTGGCACTACAGCCCCAGTGGGCCTAGGCCTACCTCCATGAAACTCTCCGTTCACTTCGGTTTACTAGATCTTACACATTCGGTAGGACTCCTTGGGCGGGTGATCAGCTCGTCGCAAGGCCTCTACCTGTACACAAACAGAAAAACGCACACAAACATCCATGCTCTGAGTGGGATTCGAACCCACGATCCCGGCTTCCGAGCGAGCGAAGACAGTGCATGCCTTAGACCGCTCGGCTACCGTGACCGGCACCAGCTCACGTGCGATATCAAATAACAGGAACACGAATATGACATGCGCACTGCTGCAATCCTCATTACCAGCTCAAGGAATCTGTGGTGCTCTTCAGTAGGGTAAAGTTATCTGAATTTAATTATACAGTTCAGGAGATCAGTGTTTCTCGAACCCAAGGGGTATCAAAGCAGCTTACTAGGCGTACCGTAAGGTCTAATTCGTACTTTTCAACATTCCTGCACTCAATATTCATTTGTTGTCGTCATTCATATTTCTAATCGCCCCAGAACAGGCTTGCATCTATACATCGCAGGCTTAAATGTGATTATTGTCCATTTGTATTATAAGAGCACAGAGTATTAAACTGTGCATTATCCAAGTTCCTTTTTACAAGTATTATCACGGTTGTTGTTATTATTATTAATCTCATTTCCTGGGGTACTAGGCGCAAATGTTTTCGAACCCGTCTCAGACAACGTTTATGTTGAAAAATAAATTCGGTACCCCGGGTAAGTCAGGGTACTTATATATTCTGGTCTATATTAACTTAGCTTCATAACTTGTACTCTTCTCCATGTATAATTACAATGAAGTCAAGGAAGATAAGATGGGCAGTGCATATAACACAAATGGGGAGAAGAGGAATACATATAGGATATTGGTGGGAAAGCCAGAAGGAAAGAGATCACTGGGAAGACCAAATTGTAGGTGTCTGGACAATATTAAAATGGTTCTTAGAGATATAGAATGGGATGGACTGGATTGATCTGGCTTAGGATAGGGACCAGTGGAAGGCTCTTGTGAACACGGTAATGAACCTTCGGGTTCCATAAAATCCTGGGAAGTTCTTAAGTAGCTGCACAATTCGCGGCTTTCCCCCGTCCAAGGAGTCCTACCGACTGCATGTAAGATTGAGAAACCGAAAAAAAAAAGGCCAAGGCCCAAAGGAAAAGAAAAAGGCGCAAATAAAATTGCTAGGCGGGAACAGCGGAAATTTTATACCTACTACTGTCTAGAAATTCTTGCGGAGAGCTACATGCTTTCTTGCAGCTTGCCCCACAAACAAAAGTCACAAGGATTTAAATAGAGTGACCCCGGAGGCCACAATCCTCAACTTGCGGCTTGCTTGATGAAGATTTCATCTACCGCATCCAAGGAATTATTTGCAACGTGTGCCCTTGCATTGCCTTGCATTGCCTTGCATAAAATATTCGTAAGTTTTTTCTTCATGAGCCAACCGACCTAACAGTGTGACGAAATAAAACCTCATAAATTTCGAAGTTTATTTTTTTGTGAAAAATGAAACTTGGGCCCAGTTATCGTGCACGCACTATTAACACACCACACTCCAACCTTCGGATCATGAAGTGGCACTTCGTGTACAGCATGAGGAATTTCTGTGTTGAAATGTCTGTTATTTTGGCTGTTTACATAACCATATAAAGTGAACCATGCTTCGTCAGATGAAACGTAAATTCTGGGACCATAAGGTCATTAACCCCCTCGTTGGTGTCTCCACCTTTTCGTGGTGAGGAGGTTTGAGTATGCCAAGGACCCTGAGAGCTATACCAGCGGTAGCGTAGCTACTGGCAGGGTCTCCCTTGCTGGACAGGTCAAAGGGTATGCATCAGACGAAGAGAGACACCAAAAACCAAAAACTGATGCCGGAAGCAGCGTCATCAGCAGCGACTTGAAACACAGAGCAAGTGATGCTCGAGATGGTTCAAGTTCGTATAGCAACAGGCGTGACCAGAGTGGTTTGAACGGCTGTTGTACTGCGATGTGGAAAGCAAATGGAAAAACTACCACATTATCACTTTTCCTGGATAGTCTCTTTCCAGAAACAGAGATACCATGTATGCGACCGGAAGACTAGGGAAAAGATGTAAGAAGAGAATATTTTTATTTGAAGGAGAAAGCTCTAGATCGCATTAAGTGGAGGAACTGTTTTCGAAGAGACTGTGGACCTGTCGTTTGACAGATTACTGATGGATGAATGAATGAATGAAGGTCATTAAATTCCCGACTAATGGAACCATCTGCAACATCTAATTCTTGCTTCTCAATTTGGAGGAAGAAGACTATGAAAGACTGCTGCTTTGTAAGGCCGTATCTTTACTAGCTGCGCGCCAACTTCAACCGTGCATGTTACCAACTCAAGCATAACTCCTTCTGCTATGCTTCCGTTCGAGTACAACTGTCGTCAAATTCCTCTGCAGTCAATACACGTTATGTCAATCTCGCAGGACACAAATTTTGTTACAGCTTTCTGGATCGTTGCGTTACAGCGGATTGTATTGTCAGAATATTTCTTATGAAACTTTCTACGCACTTCCTCCATGAAGGACTCTGTACAAATGAACCATCCATATAAATAATTTCTGTTCAACCTTATATATCACAACACTGTGAACTGTATTTATGTTTACCTCAAGGACAACTACATGCTAAATAAGCAGTGCTGTCAAGATAAGCAAGCATCGGGTGACTAAGCGCCGTTTCGGCGACCATCAATGGCGGGCGTGGCCTAAAAAATTTCGAACCTGCCGTTCTAAGGACAAATNGATTTAAAGATGGTGGAGGCATGCTTGAATAAACAGAGACTTTGCAGTTAATAACGCATGAATAATCTTAGTTTCAAATTTCGCATCTTCGGTTAGAGAAGGTTAATCTTTTATTTTATAATTGTGTATAAGTTGTTTTTCAATCGAAACGTATTTCAAAATGAACTTCGAGCTTAGCCAGTGTTTCCTCACCAGTGTGCCTGAGCATTTTTTGTTAAAATGCATGATTCCACACTGAAAAGCAACTCTCAGTGTGTGCCACTGGCAAATATGAAACAGATTTATGTGACAGAGTTTGGACAGAAGCCAGTGTCGAGCCTAAGATGCCATTATCGAAGCCGACGTATTAGGCTCAATGAATAATTCACCAAACACATTTCAGAACAAGTATTACGTCTTTGGACATTATTCGTCGTCTTGTCTGTATCTAAAAACCGTCCTGTTTATTTTTCAAAACGCAACGTTTCGGATACTGGATTCTCTCTCCGTCTTCAGGTAAAACCTACTCAGTTGAGCCCAATAGATAGAGCTAGTCCCTATTCCTATAACATTTCAGAATATTTTAGAGGCACCGGATCCATAACAAATTAAAATTAACTCACAGACCGTGCTGATGCCTTTTAGGACGATTATATATTAAGTCAATGTACCGATATAACGCCAGGAGTAGATGAATCTATGATATTAATAAACAAACGAAACACAAATTAAAAGCAATCTGTTACTAGCCTCTCAGGAGGCCGCGCCATAGCTCAAGCGGTTAGTCGCTGGATTCCCACCGCGGCGGCCCGGGTTCGATCCCGGGGTCTTGTCAAGTGGGATTTGTGGTAGACAAAGTGACACTGGGGCAGGTTTTCTCCGAGTACTTCGGTTCCCCTGCCAATCTTCATTCCACCAATTGCTCCACAATCACCCTCACCTATCATCTGGGGCTGGTACAATAGGTCAGAAGTGGCCGCAGTACAAGGGACTTAGACCCACCCCACTAGCAATAAAAAAAATACTAACCTCTCACAACTTGTAACTAACGGAATCCTACCTAACCCTTAATTAGCCTAATTAGAACAGCAAAACGCAAAGACAGATGACACAAGAAGATTCAAGATTCAGAGAGATATGCATTCGCAGTATTGAGGTGTAACATTGTCAGCCCTAATCAATTCACCAATCCATACCCCGTCTCTGATCACACACTTCTAAAAACGAAACAAATCGATTTTATTTGCAGATGCAAGAGATGGCCCTGCCGCCAACATGCTAGAGATTGCCAGGGCCATGACGGAGAGGACCCCCGAAATATGAGGTCCTCAGGGTGCGCTGTGCCGGTGCGCGGCGTCCTCATACTCCAGTGGCTCCTCGTGTGGCGACTTTCAGAAGCCGACCACCCTATCGTCACGATCAGCCGGCAGCACAAGGGAGACATGTTCACCGCTGACAGTACGAAACTTCTTTACTAACTTATTCATTATGGTTCTAGTTTAAACTGCAGTCACGTGTTAAATCTTCCGTATCTCGTTTTCTTTCAATTTCCCTTTCCAAATTCGGTTTTTCTTTATTATTTCTTCCCATGGTATATTTTTATTTTCTCGTCAATTCTTTCTTCGTCTAATTAGTCTTTTTTTTCTTCAATTCGTCCTTTCTTCCATTACTTCATTCTTTCTTCATTTCCTCCTTTCTCTATTCTGTCTTTTATTTTGTATTTTATTACTTATTTTACTATGCAATTGTTCTTTGTTTCATTTCCTAACTTTTATTTATTAGTTAAGTCAGTTTAGTGATAAGTTAGGGACTAGACAACCGGGATTCGATCCTCGACAGTGGATTTCTCTCTCTGCCACCGCATCGAGATAGGTTTTGGGGCCCACCCAGACTATTGTCCTGTGGTACCGAAAGGGCTTTCCTCGGCAGCAAAACGGCCGAGGCGTGGAGCTGACTTCTCACTCGAATTTAATGTCAAGCTCAAGAATACGTGGAGCTATATCTCCCCTTTGTCATACATAGTGTTTAATTGAAGTCAGAGAAAATTTCTTTCCCTCTCTGTTCATTTGTTTCTGTTACTGTTTCGTGCTTTATCTCGTTCATTCTTCCATCCCTTCTTTGTTTCTTGCTATCTCCTTTTCTTTTTCTTTTTCCATCTCTTCTTTCTTCTTTTTTTCTTCCGTTTAATCTTTTTCATTCTTTCTCATTTCTTGCTTTCATTATTTGTTCCTTCGATTTTTTCAGTATTATTTTTTTTCTTCGTCTGTTTCATGCCTCTTTCTATTTTTGTTTCTAGTTTCCTTTCTTTCAGGTATCCTCCTTTCATTCTTCCCTTGTTAATTTCTTACTTACGTTCTTTCTTTCCTGTATGTTTCATTCTGACAGGTGACGTTCAAACGCACTGCACATAATTGAGGCGTTTATCAACGGGTCGCGCAGTGGCCGACAACCCTCATCTGGATATTTCGGATGTAGAAAAGATACTGGGAGCCAAAATTCTAATGAATCATCAAAACAGTGTGTGGGGCCCTTGGGGTTCCTAACGAATTACTGTTTCAGAAAATTAAAATGTCATAATAGTTTAATTTCAATCAACATATGGACCCGTGAAAACTTTAATATTATTAGAGGTAAAATTACTAAATGGTCTCACACAGGTTTTTCCCCTTGACAAACAAGAGCATAGACTCCTTGCGTGAAGCATTTCTGCGCAGTTTCTCTGAACGCTTTTTATTTCGTTGCAAACCTCGTCGTGCCTAGACGTTCGTTATTGGTGGCACTTTTTAGGGCTCCGTCAAAAGGTAGAAGGCATACAATGATGAATGGAGCTGTTTTGTAATTGTTACTCTGTCTTTGAAGGCATTTCTTGTCATCTTACAGCATCCCCACCGCCTGCCTTCGCTCAGTTCTGCTCCGACATTTCTCAGGTTTAACTAATGTGAGGATATACCAGTGGGTACCTGAGACTGTTCTTGTGGTGTTACTGAAATGATTCCGTTCCTATCCCATAGAACAGTGGCCATGCGTGAACTGTATCAAACATTTTCGACGGAGAGTTCGGTGATGCCACCGTACAGACTGTCGCCTAACTCCGGCTACAAATCTCACCGCCATCCAGACAAAATGGCGTTCTTTCTGCCTCATGTTGTGTAGTGGATGGGAGTAATATTGTGAACTAGGTGATAACACGACGAGATCTCTCTTCTGGGATATAACGTAGTGTAGTCCGTTGGAACTAAGCCGACGTTTCAGAGGAACATATCGCCTTTATCTTAAAGTTCGAAGAGTAAACCAAGAAAGTAACCAGCACTAAAAAGTCGACGAGCAGTAATAACATACTACCCTCAAGCCTATTCTTTAACATCTATTCTAATATTATCATCTCATCTACATCGCAAGATGTTTCTTCTATTCAGATTTTCCAGATAAATTATGCATGCATTTTCATCCCTACATATATGATACATGTCATACCCATAATGTTTGCTGACGAGCACAAATTACGTATTTCTACAGTATACAGTGCTCTCCATCGCCATGTCACAGAGAGCACTGTTTGCAACATCTCCTCTATTGTTTCGCGACGTCACCGCTGACGTGAGGTGTTCCTCTGTTGCTTGTGTACGGGCCATTACCTCGCAACGGGCCTACATGCTACATTATTAAGTTTCATATCAGTAATTACCTATGTGTTTATTTCCGGACCATCTATTCGCTTCTTAAATTATTTATTGAAGAGTTTATTTTGTGTATCTCATGAGCCACTTGCCAACCTCTGGTTATTTAGGGAAGAGAGCCCTCCAGTTGTGATGAACCTACGTGTTTCTTGTGTCGCAGGATCGTCTTGCTCTAAGGACGTGTGTGTGAGCAGCAGCAGTGGCACTGCAGGAGTGGCTGACAGGAAGGATTGCGCATGCCAGTGCCTGCCGCACCTCCCCGTCTTCAGGGAGGATCTCCAAATCTGCATCGACGACATCCACGGTAAGGAAACTCGTCCATAAACGAAAGCCCCTTTGCGAGTTCTGTGTGACGTACAGTGATGCGTTCGTCTAAGTCAGTAGTGAGTTATCTGCCACACGCGAGCTGATTTCAACAGCAAACGATTTAAAGCAAGCTTAACTTCTCATTCGCTTTTCATCCACCCATACAATTTCAAATTCATTTTTTTCATAGCATTACTTAATGGCTTACTTTATATTATTGCTTGCAGGTACAGATTTCTCTACACAGAATTGTAATAAAACTTTATTAAAAAATAATGTTGGAGTAGTTTTCATTGATACGATTTCGCTTGCGGCCTAGACAAGGTTTCAGGACCTTTAAATTTGCCTTTGTGAAAAATGAATTGTTCCTATTTATCTGACCCATTAAAGAACACTCATCCAAGTGCTTAACTACAATATCGTGATGTTGTGTCTGGAATTGGACAGAGGTGAATAACCATGAATTCGTAATATCATCTTTTGATTCCACTCCTTGGGGTTAGTAAGTAAGTATGGTAGTTAGTTGGTTTGTTGGTTGGTTAGTTAGTTAATTAGGTGATTTATATGTCTATGATTTATTTAACGACGCTGTTTGTGACTCCAACTATGTACCATGTAAGTATTGAATTGGAAAGGATTTGAAAGGAACCGGTCCTGATCTAATTTGGGCCACTGTCCCGGCATTTTTATAGGGTGACTTAAGAAAATCACGATAAACTTTATTCAATATGGTGTCCGGCTCAAAAGTCGAACTAGTTACCTTGCAAATACAAGTCGGGAGCCTTACCACTTGAGTCAGCTTGTTCAGTAGTGGGTAAATATGGTCGATGGGTAAGTTTCCTGCCACAGAAGAAGGTCGCTGAAGAAATGTAATGGTATAAACCTTTCTAAGTCTCCTTGTTTATAAAAATGTGGATAAAGAAATCCTTCGTGGTTTAAATTTGTCTCGACTTCATGTAGAAAGTGGCAGAATACTCGTCAGCAGTACCAGATGCTAAGTTTCTGTGCCATCACGTAATCAAGAGTAAATTCCTGTTTCGCGACGCGTTATAGCTGGGAGCTGTTGCCAAGTGCACGTGTTGGATGCGTCCCACTTCCTAGTACTGCGTTCCCAACACGCAACTGAGCCTGTCAGTAAGATTCTTATTTCATTAGAATCTTTATATAGACGTGTGATAACACACGCAGTAACAGGAGCAAGACACAACACAAAGCACAATACACACACGAAAGTAGGAAGAGTGCTCCGATAGAAGAGGATAGGTGTGACTCGCGTATTGAGATGCGACGTAGGATGAAAAATCCTGAACAGTTTTAATATTTTTAATATTTAATATTTATCAATATATATGATGAACATATATTTTAGTTATTTTAGTATGAAGACGGCAAGGCATGCAGTGAAGCAGTTTAACGTAAATTGAAAAGCACCTGAAGATGGGACCTTTGTGCCGAAACACGTAATGCAGGAGAGAAGAGTGAGGTGGATGAGTGTATGCACTGTAAGACGGTTGGAATAAATCATGGACATCTTTATATACACGTTAAAAACATTTTGCAAGATTCTAACTTCCGGAACTTTGAAATGGAACTGGTCCGAGGGCTTTAGCCATGAGAGCTGAAGAAAACAGGAATATTAGGAACTGTGTGGTTAGACTTCTTTGCCTGTCCCTAAACCCTCTGGTTGCAAATGATGTCTCCATATATTTTTGAGCGCCCAAAATATCTTCGCCTCAGTGGTTTTTATTCCGTTGTCAGTCTTGGCATTGCATTTGTCTTCATTCTGTATGTGTGCTTTTAGGCAAATTTTCTGGTAGACTTCAATTTTCCTGATAATGTTTCAAAGACTTAAATTCTTTGGACCTAAATCCAGGCCGACTTTATAAATTTTCCTTGGTTTGTTAAAAATTATTCCTTTGCATGTGTGTGCGTGCGTGCGCTCCCTCCGCCTCTAGTAACTTTTGGCGAATTGACTGATTTTTGTAGAACTTAGCGTGAGTAAAATTTCATGGGGCGCTACCATAATTTCTTCTTTCTTTTAATCGACATTACAAATATGGCAAAATTGAAAACTTTTCCCGTTTAATTTCGTATGAAGATAGGCCTGTGTCCTAAGCCTACTTACAAATTTTATGTGAGATATTTTATGTCTTTCAAATAATAATTTTGGCGAAAGTGGAAAATATTGAGATTAGTAACAAATATAGTCACATAAATAGACGCAGTAGCGTAGTTGGTTGAGGCACTACGTTACAAACCAGAAGGTCGTGGGTTCCATTCCCGATGAAGTCAATAGATTTTTCATTTAACCTGTTCCTTCCAGCCTCTAACATAAATGAGTATCAGGAATTTTTCTGTGGGTAAAAGGCTGACGACCTCACCGCCATCTGTGAGCCGGTTTTCTAAAGAAAATGTGGGAGCCTCGACGTCTCACAAACCTACTCATCTCTATGGCCTGTTACAGGGATAGCTTTAGATGAAAGGGTGGGTGAATAGCTTAGATTTGACAGAATATATTACTTCTTTGATTATTCATTTACAATATCTGCAAATTTTTCTCATACATATAGAATTGTTTCAAAGGAAGCCGACTTTGTAAGTTATTCCCATGAATGTTTGCTTTATCTGGCGTTTAGCACACAACAAGTATGCTAAGTTATTTTGATGTAACCAGGAAATTCCTATTCAAGTGGCCTTTTCACCTGTCCCGCGCGAAGTCCTCTTGGTGCTGATATAAATTGCTATGATGTCGACTGCATTCATGGTGGGTTTCTCTGGCACAGCCTGGCGCGTCTAGGATTATGCACCGTGCGGAAATGAGAAAAAGAATGCTCACAATTTTCTAATCATCTGTTGCATGCAGGAATGAATGGATCTGCACGCTAAATGCACAACACGTGAGTACGTACGGGTTCTGTCGATTCTCTGCGTATCTAACTGCCTTGCCATAACTCACTACTGGTTTCATGTCAACTAGTATGGCCGTAAGTAACAAGCAGATAGAACAATTGCCACAGACTGCACGTACATAAAGTTCGTCAGTTATGGCTAGAAACTCAAACGTGAAATGTAGAAAGATACGTTACCGATCTGTTCTAGAAATTTCTTAAAGAGACTGAAAAATTCTATTGAAACCCACAGAAGGGCCAAGATTCGACGGTGGGCCTCCAAAGTACATGAAGTTTTGTAATTTGATCGTTTGACTAGAGAGAGATATAAAAAGACTGGAACGGTTGTACTCCTTAATTTTGCATACAAAATTTGCAACGGAGTACTTTGCAATTCATTAAGTTTACTTGTGACCGGTTTATACATGACATTTCAGCAGCACACGAAGTGTGTTAGGTAAATGAGCAAAGTGCATATTTACGCAGTATAACAATGCACAATACTGAATTTGAACAAAATTTGTGTAACGATTGTAGGGTACACGGAAAAGTGTATTTACGTATTATCTTACATAAAGTTGGCTTTCAGTTCGGTAAACATGGCTCAAAGCAAAGCATACAAATGACCCATTAACGTTATACAAAGAATTCTCACGTCGAATTTTACTAAAAATTTATTGGCGGTTTATAATATATAAGAAAATTTATTTATGACCTTGTGTAGGGTAGACTTTTAATTGATCAATGCGGTTACAAATCAAATTGAAAGACTAGCATTATGCTCAGATATCTCACATCGAATTTCACCAGAATATACAAAACACACTCCGTGGTTATAGTCAGCAAGCGAACTTTACCGACCGAGCAACCGCTGCTTATGTGTGAAGTTAGTGCCAAATTTCACTGATAGAGAGTGTAGCGAGGTCAGCGAAACGAATCCCAAAGGCCGCTTATTTCGGTTGCTAGACCGGAGCCGCTATTTCCTTGAAATAGCTCCTCAATTATCCTCACGAGGCTGAGTGGACCCCATTCTAGACACACTACTTATCAGTAAATCTGGTAACGCCGGGAATACGTCATACAATACAGATATGCCTGTCACTACTCGCATTTTTAAAACTTCTGTGAGTTTTTGTAATTCGTCTGACATATGCAGAATACTAGCTCACTTTTCGTTACGTACATAAGCTTCTATTATGCAATTCACATTGAATAGTTATTGAACCGTTACTTCAGTTATTATTATTATTGTTGTAATTAATTGGTAAAACGTAAATATTTTATACGTTTTATATACATTCTCAAACTAACAGGAGGTCTGTAAAAATGGTAAATATTTTAACACCATACGTACCTGTCGCAATAATAACCGAAAATACGTAATTTCAGATACGTAATTATCTCAGGAACCGATCACAGTGGCCGCTCGGTCTAAGGCATGAACCGTCTTCGCCCGTTCGGACACTGGGATCTTTGGTTGGAATCTCACTCGAGGCATGGATGTCTGTCTGCGTTTATTCTGTGTTTGTGTTGTTCTGTGTGTAGTAGGGGGCCTTGCGACGGGCTGATCCCCCGCCAAAGGAGTCTTACCGATTGTATATAGGATTAAGAAACCGAAAACACTGTCAAGGTCCAACAAATGGCTGTAGAGCCACAATAGAACAGATTTATCTAGGGATTACTGGGATTTTGGACTTTGTCCGTCATCTGGTGTTCTGAGAAACATGTGTTAATATAATAATTACTGACTGCATTCAGTGCTGACTAATCAATTGTACTGAGTATAATTACGTATAAGACGGTTCTAGACAAAATAATAAGCATCTCATATGTTCAAAAGCATTTACAAACACGGACAACAACCTTGAGCTAATGTTTAGCTTGTAATGTAAAATATACACTCTGAAGATGACACAATAGATGTGGAAACATGTCGCGTAAGCAGCCAATATAAATGTGTTGTAATTTATGGTGCATGATAGATGATTAATGTGCTACACAGCTCAACCTTAAGATACAATTCATATTAAGTTTATTTTAGTCATTAATTATTTGTGTGTTTCCAGGGTTCAATTGTGTTGACAATATTAAGTTAGATGATGTAGACAGA